CCTAAACTGGTAAACTTTCACACCTGACTTTTTTTTTAAGGAAATTTCCAGGAGAATAACCACAAATAGCATATGAAAAGGCATGAGCAGACAGATTTTATCTCAAGATTGTGAGTGTAATGAATAGAAGATAAATTTACAAGGAATGGCACCCATCCTTATCAGCCAGTGTCGGGCTGGAGCCACCAATGCAAATGGTGTAAAGAAGATGTATCATCCCAAGGGGAATATTTGCATGACGCCTGCTACGTGATGTACTACAAAAATAACAGCGCAGTATCACACAGGGTTGTCATGAACAGTTTGATGGCAGATCATTCTATTTAGGATTCTTGAAAATGAAATGAGTAAGGCTTCACATTTTTAGGTTTGAAACATGTTTCATTATTTTGCTATATTTCTCCCAATTGCATATTCATTCCACAAGAAAACATAAAAATAGCATTAGTGCCACATACACAGTTCTATCTGGCATTCGCATTCTCAGTAGAGGACTATGGACAGTACTGGGTTTCTATCTGCCGTCTGGTCTCCCACTGCTCAACCTTAGTCCTAGGGAAGGTCACATTCAATCCACTTTGATCATTGCATACTGACGTATTGGCAGGCTTGAACAGGGAAATAAATTGCACTTAGGTTATCCAGTTTTGAGAGCTGGTAAAGCAATGCCAAACATCTTAAAAGGGGGAAAACGTAAAAACAGAGGATGTTGGGAAGGGATGGACTCCAAGGAGGACTCACCAAGGTGTTGAGAGACTCATTAGCATGACAAGCATTTTGTACATTTATTAGGAGACAAGCAGGTACTCAGGGAGTGGGGAAACATAGGGAAATCCCAGCCAAAAGGTGCTCTCTTTGATATTCAGGGTAATCACGTGAGATCACAAAAATTAAAGGAGGAAAATCCATGAGAGTCACTACTCCACAGACAACTGGGAACAGAAAGTCGTTTGCTGCATGTTCTCCGAGGGCCAATGTGGGAAGGGGTGGACTGTCTTTGCTCCTTCTCTACCCCCGAGCACAAGGTCGGGCTTCACCCTTTGCTATCCTATTTTGGGACACAGGCATATTTATATCTCTAGTCCTTTCTCTTGAGCTGCAGCTGCTCTTGCTGGTCAGATTTTCACTTGGGTGCCCTCTAGTTTGCTCACTTTAACTGCTGTGCAAAATTAACCTTCCTCTCCCCCAGAACAGCTTCCCCTACTTCTATGACTTCTCTAAACCTGGAACCAGTTTTTAAATAGAATTTTTAAAATAGGTAACACAGTCTCATGGCTTTTTAAAAAATGTTATACATGAAAAATTTCCTCTTTCCTTTCCCCATGTAGCCAATTCCAGCCACTTGCAAGAAATTTCAAGTTTCTTCACCCGCATACAAATAATGAATATAAACTTCCTTCCTTTTTATTCACAAGGGATTATATTCTTCACGCCTTTCTGAACCATGTGTTCTACTGGTGTGTAACAAATACCTCTATACATACTGCCTTAAAACAGTTCCATATTCTCCCTCATAGTTTGGTGAGTTGATAGGACCCTGTTAGTTGTCAGTTCTTGCACTGAGTTCTTGAACTGTGCGTGGTTGCAGTCAGACGCTGGTTGGCACAGGAGCTATATGAAGGCTCGGCTGGACCGGTGTCCCAGAGTGGCGCACAGATGGTCAGCAGTTGATGCTGGTTGTTGGACGGAAGCTCAGCTGCCAGAGCACCTTTGCATGAACTTTCCATGTGTCTTGGGCTTCTCCCAGCAGGAAGCTGGGTTCCGGGTGGGAGCCTCCAAGGAGTGAGCATTCCAAGAGAGCAGGAAGTGGAAGCTACCAGGACAATAAGGACTACTTACAGAACTGGCACCGTTACCCCTGCTGTATTCCATTGGCCAAGGTAGCCACAGGGCCTGCCCAAGTTCAAGGGGATGGAGAAGTAAGACTTGTGTCTTCAGGGGGGTGAGTGGCGAGATCATATTGGAGAAGCTCTTGGGGATAGGAATACAGTGTTGGCCATCTTTGTAAAATAAAATCTGCAGCAACACCTGAAATCCTTCTCTACTCCTCCAAACACACATGTCAGAAGCCTAAGGAACTTCCTTTTGTAAAGTCTAACATCTAACCTCTCCTTGTTGCCATTGACTCCCCTGATTCAGACCTTCATCTCTTTGTAGCTAGTTAATTGTCAGAGTTACCTTCCTGGCCTCCAATATCCCTTACTGCAAATAGGCAATAAAACTTGTATTTTCTTACACAGGTATTTCCATAAAATTTAGCTTTGATGATGTCCTAAGTAGAAATTGGCTCAAGTACTACAGTGGTTTTGTTTGATCTGTGTGATGTTGGCATATATAATATTTACTTTTTTTTAAACTTTCAACATTGCAAAATCCAGATTAGGGTCCTTTTGAAAAACTGGGTTCTCATATGTGGAAATTCAATTACTAAACTAATATGTTCTAGATACTGAACAAAAGAAAAAAATATCGGTCCCTGAGGAGAGGCAGACAATGGACAAATGAACAAGTAAAAGATATACAATGTTGTGTGGCCATAAGCTCTGTGGAGGGACAGGAAGGGGACAATAAAGGAGTGGGTGGGGGCCCTGGCTGGTTTGGCTCAGTGGATAGAGTCGTACTGCAGACTGAAGGGTCCTGGGTTCGATTCCGGTCAAGGGCATATGCCCGGGTTTCAGGCTCGATCCCAGTGGGGGATCACTGGGAGGCATGCAGGAGGCAGCCAATCAATGATTCTCTCTCATCATTGATGTTTCTATCTCTCTCCCCCTCTCCCTTTCTCTCTGAATTCGATAAAAATATATTTAAAAAAAGAGTCGGTGGGGAAGGCTACAATTTTAAGTCACATGTCATGGAAGGCACCACTGAAATGAGGCATTTCAGTTAAAAACTTGAGTAGAGAAAGGGAAGATGGATTTCCAGAATGTTCTTTTCCAATAGAGTAGCCTGTAGTCATATATAGCTATCTAAATTTATATGAATTCAAATTAAATTAAATTAAATGTTTAGTTTTTTTTAGGCACACTAGTCACATTTCAAGTGGCTAGTGGCTACAAAACAAACCTTCCCCCTGTTGCAAAAAGTTCTATTGAACAGCATTGCAGAGAAAGAGTATTCCAGGCAGAGAGTACAGCAAGTGCAAAGGTCCTGGGTGGTCTTTGATCAACTTATGCTAAATAGTGGCATGGCTCTTTGTTTACTCGTTCCAACTATCCTCTGTTGCCTGCTGTATACTGTGGCTGAATAGCAATTTTCATTTATTACCATAAGTCAAGCCAACTTTCTAAAGGCCTTTATTGATAGTGAGTTTTAGACCCTTGGTCAATGCCATAGAAGCTATAGGATGAATTCTGAGCCCCTGGTCTTGCATTGAGAAGCTGTGTGAAAGACGGCAAAGACCAAGAATCGGGAGCAGGGGGCAGACACGTGTGCAATCTGGGAGCAGAGGAGGTTTGCGGTGTGATTCGAAAGGTATCATCAGGAAGGAAATGGCACAAGCACCCACTAATCAGAGTGAACACACCGAACGCAGCCTGGGTGGTCTGGACTGTGGACCAGGACTCCTGGGCCTTCAGTTGGTGTGTCAGGAGGAAGTCTGGAGGATGGGGTGATATTCTGGGGCTCAAGGCAATGACTGATTTCCAACTGGAGCTGAAGTATTTCAACATTACGCCAACTGGTAAGTCTTACATGGTTTGTACAAGTGGGATTTCAGCCTGGAATAAATAGATGTGACAGGTATTTGGAATCTAATGGACTACACAGTTTATTGCAGAGCTCTTTCCACACAGCCTATGGTGACAGGATTGAAGGCCTTCCGCAGTGTCAGCAGCACCCGTTCTGATATTATCTCCTGCTCCCTATGATATCATGGGTCCCTCTCTCCCGCCAGTGTGACACAAGCCATGCTTAACTAGGTTCTGGCATTGTTCTCATGGTTTTCTGCTTTACTAGAAGGACCCTCCCTCCTTTCCGCCTGGTTGAATCTTCCCCACTCAGCTTTCAGGCACAGTTTAAAGGGCCTTCATGGACTTTTCTCTGCCCATCCTAGGCCAGAAGCATTTCTCGCTCCTGTGGCTCAGAATCCCCATTATCCACACTCACTTGGCAATTACCAAGCATACAAGGCAACCCTTTGTTTTTCTTTATGTTTATTCTCTCCTGGGCCAAATCTAAGTTCTTTGCAGTCAAAGGTCACAGGTCATGCTTCCTTTCTCCTGACATGGCCACATTTCCATATGTATTTGCCATGCATCTCCCCGTGAGTGGTTAAGGGGACACAGTAAACCAGCTCAGGGCCCTGACTTCCTGTAATCCTTACTTGTCCACGTTATTTATTTATTTATTTATTTAATGTGAGCAAGCTTGTTCAATTCTTACAAGTCTTAGGTTCTAACTGGCCTTTGTTGAAGACGTGGGTAATGGAGACCCACGCCGCCTGGATTTGAAGGCCCTGCTGGAAGCTTCCTCTCCGGGCTCACTATCCTGGCGTGTGGAACGGTGTAAACAATGATTCACACCGTGCTGGCCTTCAGTTTACCCAGCACATTCATCACGGCACCAGGCTTTCAGGGATGTCAGGTTCCAACACGTTAGCTGGGATTCACCTTCGGGTCACTAGACGCGCACCTATTTTGCTAAACAGCTATCATAACAATGCAAGTTTTCTCCCCTCGTCTTTTCAGGCCGAGTGTGCCCAAGAGGGGACAGTGTAGTGGGGGCCATGCTGTCTCCATGGTGTTTGACTTGGGGCAGAACGCAGAGCCTATTTTGAAGTTCTTGGGCGCAAACCTTTTCTAGGGATAGCGATTGTGATTTGGGGCTGGGCTGTGCAAAAAGCACGGAGGGTTCACGGGGAGGGCGTGTCTCAGACTTCCTGGCCACTTGATCGAAGTCCAAGTCCGCCCTGGCTGTTAGGAAAAGGCAGTGAAGTGGGGCTTTCAGCCTGAAGGGAACTGGAGTTGGGGGTGGGTAGCAAAGCGGGTTTGGTGGAGGATTCTGGGAACCCCGCGTCTATGGGTGAGACGGCGTCCAGGGTGTCCTACCCTTTTCCTCTCAGGTTCCTGGAGTGGCTGAGGGGTCCAGATCCTCAGGCCAAGGTGAGACACAGGAG